GTCTTGTCTCTGATCTTAACATGTGTCCAGTTTCTTCTTTTTCTCAGATAGTTCAGACAATCCAATGATTGCTTTAAATTTTTCATTTCGTACTTCCTTTTTGGATTCACTCTATCATGGCACCATTTAGTACTACTCTAACGCTGACTGGGATTCTTTTTAACCTTTTTTTTCATGACGGTCTTTGGTATGATGTCTTTTCCCACTCAGCTGATAAACGTACCTCCGATGTGACCTCTTGGATTCAGACAGGAACAAAAGCTTTTATTCCTTCTTGTTAGTTTTGAGTCTAGCCTCATTCTACTCCATAGTTTTCACCCTCTTGTGCAGCTGCTATATCTAATTGTAATCATTCTTTAAATCTTTTTTAATTGAAAAACCCTCTTGAGAACAAACGGCTATTTATTATTGCAAGAAATTGATATAATTATGCCAGAAGTTAATCTCTAGAGACTTGACTTATCTTAATTTTATAAGTTACATATGTTCATGTATTGGAAATACAGCAACAACTGGCAATAAATCATTGCTTTAAAAAACTTTACTTTTAAATCAGTTTAAAATTTAGTTGCTTGATTTCTATATTATAATTGATTTATCACTTGACAGACACAGTATTCATTAAAAGCATGTACACTAAAAATAAGATATATTTCTCATTTTTAGTGTACATTCTCATAATATATTTCTCATTTTATCCATGTAGTTGTCTTAACTTATAAAAATATGCACAAAGTATACACAAAAGTTATTTAATTAACACAAGTTTTTATTTGTTAAAATAAACAAATATTTTTATATTGAAAAAAAAAAAACAGAGTTCAAGTAAACTTCAATAAAATTATTACATAATAACGCTTCTACATTGTTTTCAATAAGTTTTTGCAGTATTTTAGTAATATTGGGTAGTTCAAAAAAGTTAGTTAGGTTAATATGACTTTGTTTAAAAAGATGTTCATTTGTATGAAATTTTGTTAAAGTAGAATAAATAATATAAAAATGCAAATTTATTATTTAACTAAATAATATGAAAAACTGTATTTTGTATGGTACGTATTAACTGTATGATTTAAAAAACTGTATTTTGTAAAAATAACGTATTTTGTAATAAATAAAAATCAACTTTACCTGTTCCACATTCCTCAGCACAATTGTTGGTCATTTTACTTCTTTCTTCTTCGAGTTGCCTTTCTCTAGCTTTTAACTTTTCTCTATAATCATTAAGACCTACATTTGAAATAAAATATAAATTAGTTTCATACTTCATAATAATTAGTCTAACTTTAACTAACTACATTTTACTATAGATATTACTATATATGTATATGTATATGTATATATATATATATATATATATATATATATATATATATATATATATATATATATATATATATATATATATATATATATATATATATATATATATATATATATGTATATATATATATATATATATATATATATATATATATATATATATATATATATATACATATATATATATATATATACATATATATATATATATATATATATATATATATATATATACACATATATATATACACACACATATATATATATATATATATATATATATATATATATATATATACATACATATATATATATAAATATATATATATATATATATATATATATATACATATATATATATATATATATATATATATATATACATATAATTACACACACACACACACACACACACACACACACACACACACACACACACACACACACACACACACACACACACATTTTAGATAACCCTCAATTATATTAGATAAATCAATTAAATTTGAAAAAAAAACAGTTATTCAAGAAGAGACTATTTGTATCATAAAGCATTGCAGAAAAACCCTACTTTATTTTAATAGGGAAACATGGAAGTAGAAAAGTATACATGACTGGCTTGATGTTATGAGCAGTTATCATAAAGCAATTACTTGTGAATTTTTCTTTTTACATATTTTAGATTTAAGTAAAATAGTCAATATTTTGAATTAGGTCTTTATCAAGATAATAAGTCAATACTAATATGAACTAGGTCTTTATCACAATAATGGTTTGTAGTAATTTGTAAACAATCCAGGGCTGTGGAGTCGGAGTTGCAACATTTTTAGCAGGGTCGGAGTCACTAAACAAAATCGCTACTACAACTTCAATAGTAAAACTTCTGGGTATTGCACATGCATGTACAAAACATTCAATTAACCTTATGTTCATGCTAAACCTCAAAAAATGTTTCATAAATTTATCAAAAAAAAAAATTATTAACTAATCGCATAATATTTTTTAAAGAATTCAAAGAATTTTTCAAAAATTTTGCTATGGAGTTAGAGTCGGAGTTGTACTCAAAAAATTTTAACAACTGGAGTCGGAGTCGTTCCTTTTTTTTTTAGTTCTCCACACCCGCTAAAACAATCTAGTCTTCAGTTCAATAAAATTAAAAAAAGAGTTAAAATTTTGATATATATATATATATATATATATATATATATATATATATATATATATATATATATATATATATATATAATGAATACGTGTTTAGATAACATCTCTCACATCACACTGAAATAGCCTGCTGCAGAGGGTTTTAGTTTTTAAACATTTATTATCTTATAGCCTGCTGCCACAAGTGACTGCCGCTACATCAACTGAGGATTTGGCATGGGGAAGCAATCTTTTCTTTAATTATTCCTCCATATAAATTAATGTAACAAAAATAGGGTAATCTAAACACTCTATAGTAGAAATAACATGACATACTTTTGAAAAACTTTTTTTTATATCATATTAGAAACCCATTAAATTTTCAAAGATCTTGAAGCACCTCAAGATAATTTGATAGAGCATTAATACTTTTCCAGAAATTTTCTAATATGAATGGACAACTTTTGTACACCCAGACTATATGAATTCTAAAAAAAAATAAAAATTCACCACACCCTATTAATCACTTCAATGATCCCTATTGAACAGACAGCTGATATTGAACCTGAACACTTTTCTGTAACAGCATGAAAATTGCAATAGCTAGTGAACTTTAACTCCAACAAAATTAAGTTATTTACTGCAAACAATCATTACAATATTGTTGATACTCCAATACTATCGATGAATGGCAACTCTCTAACTTAGTCCTCTACTTTATGTCTTCTTGAATAATTCACTGCTGACCTCTCATGGAAACCATATATACTATTCATTGAAATGTTAGCTAAAATCTGCTAAAATTGCCTCTCTTTATTGTGCTTACCACTTCCTTATTCCCATTCCATTCTTTCCTTCTTCAGATCTTTTATTTGTCCCTGTTGGAATACGGTTGTTACATTTAAGCTGGTTCTTTTTGTCACAATTTGAGCTGTATAACAACTATTAGAGTTGGTTCAGTTATGTATGCTTCATTAACTTGTAAGTAATTTGGAGGTACATTATTGACATTTTTGACATTTATTAGACTTTTTATGCCTTTCCAGGTCTCACAAAGATTTTTTATATTTTTTGAAAAGAATTTTTGGAAATGTATTTTGTTACTCAGTTTTATTAGAATAATATGGTATATTTATAGCGTTTAAAGATAGTTTTTAGTTTAATTATATTTGTTGGCTCTTTTACCCTTAACATTTTCCCTTGAATATGATTTCGAATTTGAATTAAATTTTATCATTCCTTTAGTAATCCATGGCTTGAATTGGCGTTTGTAGCTCTTAATACTAATTTTTTTGAGTGGCAGATGACAATCTAATAACAATGTTGTTTGAGAAATAAATGCTTCAAAACTGGAGTTAACATCGTTTTTATTGGTAATGTCATTCCAATCAACTTTTAATAATTCAGATTTAAATAATTCTTTATTAAAATTTTTAAAGTTCCTGCGGTATAAATTATGATTGCCTGGTATAAAGAATTAGTTGAAGAATTAGGACAAACAAGAAATTGAGGTAGGTGGTCAGAAATAGAAGTTGTTAGATTTTCTAAAATAATTTGGTTAGTGGTTACATTTGAAAAAATATTGTCAATGATTGTAGCAGAATGGTCAGTAACTCTTGTTGGTAGCGTAATAAATGGGGGAATATTATAAGAAGTAAGTAAGTTTAAAAACTTAGAAGTTGCAAAGTCAGAGATTGACTGTATCAGATCCATGTTAAAAACGCCAAATAGAAAGAGAGATTTATTTTCAGAAGATATTTTTTGGAGAAAGACAGACATTTTATTATTGAAATCGTTTACATTAATGTCTTAATGGGTGTCTGTTATTTTTTCCAAAAAATCAAATAATATTGTATAACCAACAATATTATTTGATTTTTTGGAAAAAATAATTTCAAAAAAAGTTGATTTTAAATAGTTTGGTGTGTATATAATCAAATCATCTTCTTTTATAAATCAATATTTTTGATAAATATAACAAGGTTCCGCCACAAGAAGATTCAGTTGGTGTGTGCTCAAAATTATAATTTAGAACAATAATTGGATGTGTGGAAGGAGATCCTTTTTTTAATTTTTAAGTTTCTGTAATTCCGATAATGCTTAATGCAAAACTAATCAATGATAACAATATGTTCAGCTTTTGTAAAGAGGATATGTTTAAATACAAAAGGTTTGTGATGTCAAAGTTATAAGAACAAAATTTATTAATGTCATAATATTGACAATCAAAAGATTAATAAATAAAAGTAATAAATTTATTAAATTGAGTATAGATTTTATTCAACCCCGATGCTGGAAAAAGTTTAGTTGATAAAGGCAAGTTATCAATTATAAAAATTTTATTTGAAGAGAAGAGTAGTTTAAATTCATTATTGGATACATCAGTCAATGGAAAAACACCTTTGGTACAATTTACACACAGCCATCTTGAGCGTTTTGAATGTGTTAAATTGTACCCATGATCATAAAGCCTGCTACATTTTGAATGAGTCCAAAACAAACATACATCACATTGAGTTGTACTGCAACTTACACTAACTTTTTTTGTACGTGCAGTGAATACTCCCCTAAAATTAGAGGTCATAGTAAAACTAATTAGAAAGATAAAAGGAGAAAAATTTTAAAATTTAGAAAGTTTGAAGTTGTTAAGAATAGAAAATAACAATGAAAAATAATAACGATACAATATTATAAATAGTAATTATAATAGCAACAAATATAACAGTAATAATAATAATAATAATAATTGCATTGAAATGATACTGTTTAGATATTCCTTTAAAAATTTCAAGTATAATTGCATCATTTAGGGATAGCATGTGAAGCCAATGGAGCCTTATGCAAGTAACGAATCAGCAAACCTATATCCTTTTACAGCAGATATTTTACAGCAAAATTTAGAAGAAAACTTGAAGTTGTTAAGTTTTAAAAGAAAAGAATAGAAAATAATAACGATACAATATTATAAATAGTAATTCTAATAGCAACAATTATAATAATAATAATAATAATTGCCGTAAAATATAATAATATTTGCATTGAAATGATACTGTTTAGATATTCCTTTAAAAATTTTATCCTTTTACAGCAGATATTCATCATACAACTTCTTCACTTTTTTGCAGAAGCCACTGTGAGGGGCAACTATTATTACTATTGTTAGAATAAGCGATATAAGTTTTTTCTTTAATTGTAAATTATTTTTTTTTGTTACAATATTTTATTAAGTTATTTCAAGAAACTTTTCATATATAAAAAAGATTAATAACATAATTTTTTTATCACACAGTCATAATTTTTGTTAGTTGTGATACTATATTGTTGTTATTGGTGACATTATCTATTGTTCATCACACTGAATGGCTTAGATTAAGCTCTCTTTCTAGATTGTGTGACCCTCTCAGCCTAGGGGAGATTTTACTACTTCATCTAAGAACTAACAACATTTTTTTTTTTTTTAATGAGACACCATGGTTAATCATTTTACTTTTTGTAAATTTTTTTTTTATAAATAATAGTTTTGAAAAAATAAACATTTTTTGATTATTTTTAGTTAACAATATTACCTTGTTTCCACTTTCCTATTTTAGCTTTTACTGCAGCAATATCTTCTTGAGCTTTATTTAAGGTTTTTTGTGCAGCATCAAACATAGCTTGTGCTTTCTTTCTGGCTTCTTCTACAGCTTTTTTTGCAGCTTCTGTCACTTTCTTTATTACACCAAGCCCAACACAGCCATTAAACTAAAACAATTTTGAAACACTTCAAAATATTTTTGACTGATTAATAATAATATAAACTTTTTAGTGAAATAAAAAAAATATTTTGTTAAAATATTTCAAATAAAAACAACATTAGTTTTATAATGCATTGGTGAGTAAATGTACAAAACTTATTAAGTGGTTGCTTAATGTCCTTAAAGTCATTTACTTAGGTTAACAAACTGTGAATAATGTATAAATAGAACAATTTATCAAACATTTTACAATTAGAGCAGATTTGGAGTACTTTTAGCATGTCTGAGGACATACTAGAAGTACCTAAATGTCAATAATAAAATGTATTTTGAGGAAAAAGTTTTTGTAAAAAACAAAACAGCATAATTCGTTCTCAATTAAAGCAACTTTAGAAGTTTATATCTAAATTTTTTTTAAAAAGGTGTTTTTACTTTATGGCTTTTGGAACAAGTTGACAAATGATGAGAAGCTTTAGATAAGACTTAAATAAGTAAAGGTCGATTAAACATAAGAGCTGTTATGTCATATTTTTAATGAGGGTTTTTTTTAATTTTAAATTAGTTTCCTGAAAAATCATGAAAACTGGACATATTTATTTTTCATATATTTAAATACTTAAATTGTTGTTCAATGTTAAATCTTTTAAGGTGTAAATTCCAAAATGTCACTCAACAAGAAGTTAAAACAAATATGCTACAAAAGGATAAATCAAAAATAATCTTTTGGCAAGATATATTTGATTCAATTTTTCGTGATGGTGTATGCAACAAGTATAAATACTAACTTATGAAAAAAATATGGCAAAAAAATGCTTTTATGGTAAGCAATTTGTAGTTGCAAAAAAAAGAGTAGAGCTTTTGTGAGGTCATCAACTTTGACACCAGAAATTTATATTCATGAGTGTGAATTAGTAAATTTACGGATGAATAAATCTTCAAAAGCAGTTTTTGCCACTTATTCAATTGCAAACTATATTATTTACTTGCTTGCTACTCATTCGATTGCATGCTTTATTAATAGCTTGTTTGTTTTTGTGTCACTACGCTAAAAAAACGTAAGAGTGGTATATATTAAGAGCGTAATTTTTAACCAAAAAAGCTCAACCCACCAAATTTCCTACCATTCCAGCCCATCAAAAAATATTGGGGTAATGGCAAAGCATATTTGTGCAAAACAGACATTTACTACAAAATTTGCTGAAGACATGGTCAATTGTAAGCAAGAAAATTACAATAAAATTTGTGCAGAAGGTAATATGCACCATCAACAGTATAGTATGAATATTTTTTTAGGATTTAGGAA